AGAGAGAGAGAGAGAGAGAGAGAGAGAGTAATTGAAAGAAAAAATAAGAGATAGTGTATGCGTGAGAGAAACTGAGAGTGAGATAGTGAGAGATATAATACGAGAGAGAGAGAGAGAGAGAGAGAGAGAGAGAGAGAGAAATGCAGAGGGAGAATGTTAAAGGGGGGGGGGGTTAGGGGAATGATAATAAAATGTAAGTACATTAAGATGGAAAAAGAAAGTGCATTATGGTTCTATTTTAAAAGAAGTCTCTGTGTGTTGCCATGATTTGGGATGGATGTGTTGATATACCGTAGATATAATAGTTCTTCCATTTATAAAGCTGCCTCTGTATCTTTTATGTTAATGATGTGCTGGCCAGTTTTTTCCAGTTTCTGTCACCTCTGACAACTATAAAGGCACACGCTTTGGCTGCTCTCCACATCCTTCAACATCGTGGCCATCCTTGAGATCTGAGAAGTTCTGCCAAGTAAAGGGCATCTTTTGAATTCTAGCTGACATGTAAGTCGTGATATTCAATTAGTATGGAGATCTACTAAAATAGATTAAAATTGTTCACTTGATGTGAAATTTTGAAAGATCTAAAATAATTCAACAATAATTCAATTGCCGAATTAACGAGTTATGTAACAAGCTTTAATGTAAACTTGAGCGGTCTTACTAAGCAAATGAATAACTTTGTAATGATACGCGGCTTATGCTTCATTTATTGACTGCACGGATGAGGGACAAACACAAAATGGACCACAAAAACAAGTGACCAGACAAGTGACCACACAGGCATGAGACCTCGCAGACAAGGGACAACATGGAAAAATGACTACACAGACAAACGACCAAATGGACAAATGAGAACAAGTACATATGAGTACACGAACAAATGAGACCACGGACATATGAGTACACGGACAAATGAGATCACGGACATATGAGTACACGGACAAATGAGACCACGGACATATGAGTACACGGACAAATGAGACCACAGACATATGAGTACACGGACAAATGAGACCACGAACATATGAGTACACGGACAAATGAGACCACAGACATATGAGTACACGGACTAATGAGACCACGGACATATGAGTACACGGATAAATGAGACCACAGACATATGAGTACACGGACAAATGAGACCACGAACATATGAGTGCACGGACAAATGAGACCACGAACATATGAGTGAACGGACAAATGAGACCACGAACATATGAGTGCACGGACAAATGAGACCACGAACATAAAACCACGAGGAAAAGTGATGACGCAGAAACAAGACCACAAGGAAAAGTGATGACACTGACAAAAGACTACAAGGAAAAGTGATGACACTGACAAAAGACCACAAGGAAAAGTGATAAATAGGAAAAACAATCACAAGGAAAAGATATAAATAGGACAAAATATCACAAGTAAAAGTGATGACGTGGACAAAAGACACTAGGAAAAGAACTGGCATGGACAGAAGACCACAAGGAAAAGTGATGACATGGACAAAAGACCACAATGAAAAGTGATGAATAGGACAAAAGAATACAAGGATATGTGATGATACTGTAAAAAGACAACAAGGAAAAGTGATGATACGGACAGAAGACCACAAGGAAAAGTGATGACACGAACAAAATACCACACGAAAAATTGATGAATATGACAAAGACCACAAGGAAAAGTGATGACATGGACAAAAAACCATAGGGACAAGTGAGGACTCGGTCAAAAGACATCAAGAAAATGTCATGACACTGACAAAAGACAACAAAGAAAAGTGATAACAAGGACAAAAGACGACAAGGAAGGAATAGTGATAAAACGCACAAAAGACCACAAGGAAAAGTGATGTCACGAACAAAAGTTCCAAAAGAAAAAGTGATGACATGGACAATAGACCACAAGGACAAGTGATGAAACTGACAAAAGACCACGAGGAAAAGAGATGACGCAGACAAAAGACCACAAGGAAAAGTGATGACAAGGACTAAAGAGCATAAGGAAAGGTGATGCCACGAACAAAAGACCACAAGGATAAGTGATCACAAGTACTATAGACCACAAGAACAAGTGATGACACGGACAAATGTTCCAAAGGAAAAGTGATGACATGGACAAAAGACCACAAGGACAGGTGATTACACTGACAAAAGACCACAAGGATAAGTGATGACACAGACAAAAGACAACAAGGAAAATTGATGACACGGACAAAAGACCACAATGACAAGTGATGTCATGGACAAAACACAACAAAGAAAATTGATGACACGGACAAAATACCACAAAGAAATGTGATGATTTGAACAAAAAAAAACCGCACCGAAAATTCATGACATGGACAAAAGTTCCAAAAGAAAAGTGGTGACATGGACAAAAGACCACAAGGACAAGTGATGACACGGACAAAAGACCACATTATAAAGTGATAACTAGGACAAAAGACCACAAGGACAAATGATGACACGGACAAAAGACCACATTATAAAGTGATAACTAGGACAAAAGACCACAAGGAAAAGTGATGACACGGACAAAAGACCACAAGGAAAATTGATGATATGGACAAACGACTACAAGAAAAAGTGATGACACGGACCAAATACCACAAGGAAAAGTGATGACACTGAGAAAAGACCACAAGGTTAAGTTATTACACGGACATATGCCACAAGGAAAAGTGATCACACGGACAAAAGATCACAAGGAAAAATGATGACACGGACAAAAGACCATAACGAAAAGTTATGACACGGACAGAATACCACAAGGCAAAGTGATTAATAGGACAAAAGAGCACAAGGATTATTGATGATACTAAAAAAGACAACAAGGAAATGTGATAATACGGACAAAAGACCACAAGGGAAAGTAATGAATAGGACAAAAGACCATAAGGAAAATTGATGATACGAACAAAAGACCACGAGGAAAAGTGATGACACGGACGAATGTACTAGGATAAGACATGACGCAGACAAAAAACCACAAGGAAAAGTGATGATACGGACAAAAGACCAGAAGATAAAGTGATGAAACGGACAAAGACCACAAGGAAATGTGATGAAACGGACAAAATACCACAAGCAAAAGTGATGACACGGACAAAATACTACAAGGAAATTTGATGACACAAACAAAAGACCACAAGGACGGAATAGTGATGACACCGACAAATGGCCACAAGCAAAAGTGATGACAAGAACAAAAGTTCTAAAGGAAAAGTCATGACGTAGACAAAAGACCACAAGGAAAATTGATGACACGAACAAAAGACCACAAGTACATGTGATGACACGAACAAAAGACCACAAGTACATGTGATGACACCGACAAAAGACCACAAGGAAAATTGATGAAACGAACAAAAGACCACAAGGACATGTGATGACATGGACAAAAGACCACAAGGAACATTGATGACCATTGACAAAAGACCACCAGGACAAGTGATGACGCACATAAAAGACCACAATGAAAATTGATGACACGGACAAAAGACCACAAGGAAAAGTGATGACGCGGACAAAAGACCACAAGGAAAAGTGATGACACGAACAAAATACCACAAGAAAAATTGATGAATATGACAAAAACCACAAGGAAAAGTGATGACATGGACAAAAACCCATAGGGACAAGTGAGGACTCGGACAAAAGACAACAAGGAAAAGTAATGAAACGGTTAAAAGATCACAAGGACAAATAATGACACAGACAATAGACCGCAAGGACAAGTGATGTCACGGACAAAAGACCACAAGGAAAGCTGATTACACGGAAAAAAGACCACACAGACACTTGAAAACACGGAATAATTAATGATATGGACAAGTTACCACATGGACAAGTGATTACATGGAGAAGTGACCTCACAGACAATCGAGTAGAAAGGACAAGCTACAAAAGAGGCAAATGGCCATGTGGAAAAATGAACACATAGAGAACTCACAAAAGGGAAGGAATGATCTAAAAGGCAATTGTACATGGACAGAAAATTACATGGACTGCTTAACACAGAGACAATGGACCAGAGCGACAAAAAAACAACAACACGGACAAGGGATCGCACGGAAATAAAACCATTCGGACACATTAACAAGCGGAAGAATAGAATACATGGACAAGTGACTAAACAGACAACTTACCACGGACATTTGAAAACATGGACAAATAAGGAAACGGACATTCGAAAACATGGACAAATAAGGAAACGGACAAATGGCCACACGGACAATTGAAAACATGGACAAAATAGCAAACGAAAATATTACCATACGGACAATTGAAATCATGACAAATGATCACATGGACAAGTGACGATTAGGTCAAGGGACAAAATCGAGAAATGACAACAAGGACATGTGACAAGGAACCACATAAATAAGTGACAATACTATCAAAATGACCACACGAACAAAGAAACACACAGATATATGATTATATGCCTTAAGTATAACATGAATAAATAATATCATAGACGACTGAAGTTATAGACAAAAAAACCCATAGACATCTGATCTCATAGAAAAAAACGCATAGATACTTGAAAGAGTAGACAACTTAACTTATCGACACATGAAGGCATGCACAACTGAAAAAGAAAATTCACGTATAATGCAAATTGCAAAGAGCCAAACTTTCTATAAGCTGAAGTGTCTATGGTTATAGTTTTATTACATTACATGCCATCGTACTATAGAATGTAATGTATATAGTTTTAGTGTTATTATAGTACAGGCTATTGTACTATATAACACAGAATCTATATTAAAGTGGTAGCATACTCCACCCTGGGGCTCCGGTAGAAAGTCTGTAGTGGCGCCCCCACCGACACCCGGTGCTACCAGTGGACCAAAGCCGCCATTGTATGAGCCTGTGAGGACAGACTATGGGCATGCATGGTGTCTGCCAAAAATGGTAGCAGCTTCAGTGCTGCTACCAGCTGCGGACATGTTGCCTCTGTTGGATATGAGGCATGAGCGTGTTAGTAGGTACCTCAGACCAACGATTTCAGTTACTCATCCTTTAAGGAGGCTGCTACAAGGCAACCATTTCGCGCCAACTACTTTCGTGAAGTTTGTGCGAGGTGGAAATACACGACAGAAAGCCCTGATCAGTGGGGTTTTTACGCTTCTCCCGGACGGGCAGTGAGAGATAATAGGACATACACTTACCAAATCGACCCCTGGGAAAGTCTTCTGCTGAAGTTGTGAGTGCAACAACCCCGGACGACCAAATGTCATTAGGTTGAAACAACGTCAAACGAGTGAAGTTACAGTCTGAGACAGAATGACAAACATATTTCCCTGATTTCCTGGCTAATTTCTACTGACAAGATTTGAAAATATTATACCACGTCAATACCTAAAAATAAAACAACTCCTTTTTTTAAAATTCCAGCAAAAATATGCACTTATTCCTGATTTTCCTGATATCTGTGTTGCCCCTGACTTTGGCGCAATTAACAGAACTCAGGTCTCTCACATATTATCGATGGGCCGACAGAGCTTTTAAACTGTCGGACACAAATAATGACACTCTTTTGGACTCAGATGAATGCACTGCAAGTTTTTATGTAAGTCACATATCCTGTCTGTTAATTTAAACATTAAAATTAGAGTGTTTCTGCTACGCACTGCCTTCTATTGTAAAAAAAAATAATCTCTTGTTTTAAGTTATGGCTCGTTCACACAGTGCACAACAAAGGACGATACCATAGAGAAATACAATAAGTAAAGTTACGACACGCAAAAAAAATTGCCAATTACAATTAGTAAGATTTATTTTAGTTATAATACTATTACGAACAAAAGAAATATAGTTAAAAATCATCAACTTACAGAGTATGTGAAATTCGTGTACCGGTACACAGTTGTTAGTACAATGTGCCAATTAATATCGATGAGTGATCAATGCGAATAAACACATAAGTACACAAAGAATAATAAATGTCGCGTGAAGTTAAAATTTATCTATCTGAATCTCCGTCCCTCTGTGTCTGTCAATCCTTTATATATGTGGGTCTACCGAGGCTAGAAAAGTCCTTACTTTTCTAATACAATCGAGAACGTTCCATTAGATAATTGTAGACATACTAACCATGTTTAATTAAACGTCAGTAGTAAACACGATACTTCAAAGACTAAGCCATGCCCACAACAAACGCTACCGTCTGCTAGGGATGTAATGTGTGCTGAAACAAAGTTCAAGCACAGATAAAGTGTACTGTATAACAGTTTGAATCTGGGAAAGGAAAATAGATAGTGTTAGAAATACTAATGTGGTTTCGGGAAAAAATATATTTATATAAATATATATGTCATTTAGAAGTATTTTTACGGTTGTTTAACCAGGGAAAACAGAAATTGAAATATGTGGCATTTAGTTTTACTTATCGGTTGATCATTATCTTTCGTTTAGATGTATTCATAGAGTGCTTAGGACGTCTGAAACAGTGGCGTTTAGAATTCCATTAATATGTAGAATTCTTGGAAATAGAAAGACATGGCGTTTAGAGGCACTTATAGAGGTTCTGAAACTGGAAAATGGAAAAAGATGGCGTTAAGAAGTACTCATACTTTTTCTGAAACTTTAAAATAGAAATATTTGGCATATAGCTGTACTTTATACATCGTTCAAGTCTGGTTGATCCATTTAGTTGTTTTGGCATGCTAAACTTTTCCCATACAACAGGTTCTTAGGCTTGGTTAACAATATCAAATTCCTTTCAAATTAGTTCCACATTTGCATCAAATATTTGTATGAACTCACTATAATGTGTGTGGCCTATGTTTCTTTTCATAGATTTGTTCAAAATCTGATCACATTCTAAGTTTTTATACGCGACAACAAATCACAGATTTACCTTTATCACGTGACATTACAGCTGATTATCAAAATGACAGCCATTTAAGTATATTTGGGCTACAATGAAACTATTGGAAAAAAAACGACATGGTCAAGTTAGTCCCCCCTTTAAAGGGTACATGCCAATTATGACATTCAAAAAACTTGGCACAATTGAAATATAAGCGTGATGAATCGAATATTCTTTTGTTTCTGTTAGCTAAAATTTAACCGTGAATCTGAAATCTAGAGATAGAGATGTTTCATCAGCTTTTTTGTATCTTCGAATAGTTTCACCATTTTCTGGTATTAAATATTCGATATCATTTAAGAAAGGAATATTTGCCATGGGTTTGTATCATTACTTCTTGTGGGCTGAAAATAGAACAGATGAGATCCGTTTCAAAAACCAAAAAAAAAAATATATATATATATAAAGGTGAAAGTGAATCATGTCAGAATCGGGTAAATCTGTGAACACATATATTATAGCCATTTAAAAACTTCAAACTCGTTAACAGGACCAAATGGTGTTGGCATATTTATATACCTATATATTTTTTTTAATTTAAAAAAAAGAAACATCATAAAAAAGAAAATAAACAGTTGTCCGAAATTAATCTTTTTTTTTTTTTTTTTTTTTTTTTATAAAAAGGGCCATCGAATAACCCAGTTTTATAAATGTCAAATTCAAATTGGATAAAAATTTATCATTATAAAATCAATAGCATCGCACAAATACTTTTATGAAAAAAAAAAAATTATATTTTTCAGCGACTAAAAGATAACGACTCTGTCGAGGATATTACCTTGCACGCTTTGATTGCTCGCTACGGTGCCTACCGTCTAAGTGCATCTGTCTCAACTTCATTGTTTAATCAGTACGACAAAGACGGAAGCGGTCTAGTAGACATTTGGGATTTCCTAGTCATGTACGTTTCATATGACACGGATAAGGACTTCACAGTCACCCGTGAGGAATTTATCAGGTGAGCCGGAGAATACTTTTGTTAATAACCATTGAATCGATGCGGTTTGAGCTTGCGCTGTTTGTGGCGCTGTTTGTGGCACTGTTTGTGGTGCTGTTTGTGGCGCTGTTTGTGGCGCTGTTTGTGGCGCTGTTTGTGGCGCTGTTGGTGGCGCTGCTTATGGCGCTGTTTGCTGCGCTGTTTGTGGTGCTGTTTGTGGCGCTGTTTTGTGGTGCTGTTTTGTGGCGCTGTTGGTGGCGCTGTTTGTGGCGCTGTTTTGTGGCGCTGTTTTGTGGCGCTGTTTGTGGCGCTGTTTGTGGTGCTGTTTGTGGCGCTGTTTGTGGCGCTGTTTGTGGCGCTGCTTGTGGCGCTGTTTGCTGCACTGTTTGTGGCGCTGTTTGCTGCACTGTTTGTGGCGCTGTTTTGTGGCGCTGTTTTGTGGCGCTGTTTGTGGCGCTGTTTGTGGCTCAGTTTGTGGCGCTGTTTCAGGCGCTGTTTAAGGCGATGTTTATGTCGCTAATTATAAATTATATTGTATATCAGATTATGTGTGTACTTTATTATCTTGTACTTTTTTTTCCCATGACAACTTGCGACCAAAATTGTCAGACCTGAGTCCCAAAATATTAGTCACAATAGGGCTTTCAATACAGCAGTTCTCATTTTGAGTAGTTCAACTTGAAAGTTCAAACATCCTTAGAGATACAGGGATGTCAAGAAGGCTATCGATTGTACGAGCGATGGTGTCGCTATTTCCTTATCGTTGTGATTTAATCAGTTAATGTTAACATTATATTCTTTCACTCGGTTAAATGGGTTCGTCAATTTTGTTACTTGGGACGTGGAAACTAATTCAACTTCGTATAGAATTTTTCCTTTAACATAGATCGTCCTTATTGGGAATATCATAACAACAATTTTAATTACAACTAGTTATATCCCGCAAAACATTGGCGACGGCAATGCGTGAACTTCCCATCTAGTAAAGTTACTTGACAAAACATGAACTCAAGTATCGCGCACATTTATGAATTCCAATTATTGCTATTCCCCCCCCCCCCACCCCCAATGATACCTCACCTCATAGTTTCTTTTCACGCCCATGAACTATATTAAATACTAGTCGACCCGCGACGTAGCATACGTCGGAGACTTGCTCATAGATGAGTGAAGATTTCGTGAAAGACACAGTTGTCCAAACGGGGGTGGGTTTGAGGATACAACGGTGATTGCTTGAAGAGATGGAACTCTGGAGAGAGCTGCACACAACTGTCTGTGACTGAATACCGGTTTTGGCAGATATAGGCATATCTTTTTGAAAGTTTGTCCCTGTGCCTTATTGCATTGTCATTGCAAAGGATAACCAAAGAGGAAATTCTCGCCGTGTAAAAGTAAAAGGTCAATTTGAATCTGATGTTGTGAGGGGAAATCTGGGAAATAAGGACAATTTTTGCGGTATCACCTGCAACAGTTCGACACTCTAGCACATTGCGGTGAACGTTGTTCACAGTCAGTCTAGTGTCATTACAGAGGACTCTTGCTGGCATGAGGTTTCTGAGAAGCACGACAGCTTGAAATCCATTTTAATTTTGAGTTTATGTGTTTGGCATGCCAGTGGGAGTAAGACTGTTAAGAAATTCTTCGGGGAATGACAGTTGATCTGCGGGATCATCTGTGACGATGGAGTCAACACTGTTGAAAGTTAGTTGGACGGTAGGGATAAGTTTCAAGACTTCTTCATTTATGATGTAGGTAGTCTTCGTTGTGGACGCTTCATATAGCTCGCGCGCTGATTTGTTTCGGAGTGATAGTTGGAGGAGTCGATGTTGTCATATAGTTGTTGAACGGGATTAGAATTAACAGGAAAAAATAATGAAAGTAATTGAACAAATGTTCCACTTTTTTTCCGTCTCCAACATTGAGGAGCCATTTGGCGAAATCTAGTTCATGAGGAAGGGCTCTCCTACTTGTTGTCAGTGTAAGGACATGCATGTTACGTCACAAAGGATGTTTGTTAATGCAACTGGCGACAGTAAATGCTCGGGAGCCACGCATAATGATGGGGAGGATTTGTCGGAAATCCCCCCCCCCCATAGTATTGTTTAGCCTCCAAATAGCTGCTTGTCACCCGTAAGGTAACGTAATAAACTGCCAACTGCCTGGATAGCGTATGCATGTGTCATTGGGGCTTCGTCCCATATTATCACTTTGGATTTGTGAAGATGTAGAGCGTGGAGTGACGTAGGTTTGATTTTGCATGTGGAAGTCGTGGTCAGCTTCAAGGGTATTTTAATAACGGAATGTGCAGTACGTCCACTTGTTTAAAGTGAGGAAGAGTTGCGTGGCGTCAACCTCACTCTCTCGTCCGCCCCCCCTCCCATATCCAGTGGCAAGACTCTACGTCAAGACGACCAGGGAAGGGTACGGTTGCAGGAATTGTCCTTGTATGCGCCTTACGGGACTCCAACTCCGGGTTTGAATTCAGAGTTTCCTTCTCTTAGATGAGTTGCCGACCAAGGTTAACGAGTGTCATCTACCCGGGATTATATATATATAGCCTGCGCGGTGGTGGTGTTTGACCTTTACTGGCGAATTATATAGAGAGATTTTTAGCAGCTTGCCGCCTCCAATAAACTGGATTAAAATACTTAATCCACGCAATGCACATTATTGAAACTTCTGAAGCAAACAATGGAGATTATTGAAAATACTTAAGCCAAACAATGCACATTTTCAAATACAAACTTTCAGGTCAATGAAACACTCACAAATTATAATACTTTATTTACCTTCCGTTTCAGGGCTAATGACGAGATTTTCACCATTGCCGGCGCACCAAGATTTTTAGGAAAATGAACAGCTCTACTATAAGTCATCCTGAATGACAGAAAATTATAACAGAAATAAAAAGTTTGTGAAATGTATTAGTTTTAACTGAAATTGAAAACAGTACGAATAAAATCAATGATATCGAAGAAAAATAATCATCTCACAGTTTTGTTTTTGTGAATTATGTTTGAAAACTGATGGGATTGAAAACTGATGGGAAAATGTTTGAAAACTTTCACGAGCGAAAGAAGACGAATGATTGATTGAAAACGCAAACAACGATTGACCAATGTTATCTTTGATTCAAATTGAGCTTGTCAAATGTTAATCCCTACCATATTTATATATTTTGTTAGCATCCGTTTCTCCACACGTAGGTTGTTGGCACCCTTTCCTCCCCACATGGATTGTGGTTAACCCTGGATTCTCTAAAGTTTGACTGCATCCCTGTTTTCATTATATGTGTGGGCTTCCTGTCTCCTGATATACATTTCGGTACCCAACTGTCTCCGGGCATTGTTCGGCGCACCCCGGCTGTCTTCTCTTATGGTTTGGTGCACCCCGAATGCCTTCTCTCTTGGGGCACCCCGACTGTCCTTTATCGTGGTTTGGTGCATCCCGCCTGTTTTCTCTCATGTGGCAACCCGGCTGTCTTCCATCATGCTGTCGGGTGGAACTGACGATCCTCAACAAGAAAACATCAATTCGATTACATTGCTCTTAAACCTCGTTCCAAGGAAACTGGGTTTTGCTGCCTCAAAAAGTAACGCGACGGCCCTTATTACAAGTATCAATGATAATCTGAAAATATTCTATGCAAGTACGATTAAAGGATGGAGTTATTTACACTTAATGTCTTTGTCCTAGTTTAAGGCTTTGGTAAGGATTTTCTAGAGTCAGCACTCATCAAGCATAAACATAGTTTTGATGATATCTCAGGGTCATTGATTTTCGCGGATAAGATAAAAGACAATAGAAATTAGAATTTATAATAAAACTATATTTTTTTTTTTTAAATCTCGGTATTCATAATACGTAAAATGTATATTTAAAAATCCTTGTTGGTTTTCCCAACGGCAGCATAGTGTTCATACATCCCAAACGTCGAGCGGTCTTGGAGTCGTGGCGTCATCATTTTGATCTCCCACTGTAGTTCTGAGTAGTTCAATTCGCTGTCGGGAGATGTATTGATAGCATCTCGTTTCATTGTGCTGGTGAGCTCATGCCTTTAGGGAGTTCAATTCGCTGTCGGGAGATGTATTGATAGCATCTCGTTTCATTGTGCTGGTGAGCTCATTCCTTTAGGGAGTTCAATCGCTGTCGGGAGATGTATTGATAGCATCTCGTTTCATTGTGCTGGTGAGCTCATGCCTTTAGGGAGTTCAACTCGCTGTCGGGAGATGTATTGATAGCATCTCGTTTCATTGTGCTGGTGAGCTCATGCCTTTAGGGAGTTTTGTGTGTGTGTTGTTGTTTTTTTTAAAATATTATCATATGTTAATGTATACGCTATGTTTAAAATTAACGACCCGGAATTCACTACAGCTTTAAAAAAAATGAAAGAAAAGTACATCAGGGTAAAAAAAAACATAAAAAGAATGATAAAAAAAAATCTTGACGTATTCCTTACTAACAAATCAAAGGCTTGTTGGGCTGGCCGAAAACAAAAAAAAACAGGAAATGTCCTTAAGCGTGAATGCTCGTGTGTGTTGAGGACGTGAAGAATTTTGTTAAGGACTTAAATGATTTTTATTGTCATTGTTACAGCCTGGACTTTGGCAGTGTACACATGAGATAATGAATTCAATTATTATCCAGACAAAGATCATTGCATGAGATTATATGTATATTTACCTTTTTTTAGGGCAAACGATGGAATGCAGCAAATGTGTTTCCACGTAGAGCCCATCTATATGCCTAAAAGTAACATATATTTAATTAATTGAAGAATATGGTTTGTTAGAAATTCAAATAAGTTTGAATATATAAAATTGAGGTACAGACTCTATCATTTCTTTCCGCCAAAAAAAAAGAACAACATTTTTTGATGCCATTTTAATCATTCAATAACTATCTTTAAAGTAGAAAAAGAAAATTACCATCAAATTATAAAAATAAAATGATTCTTACATTCTTTGAGCTGTATGTAACAATCAGAACGTCAGATTCTTCTTCACGTTTCCTTGGGCGCTACATGAAAGTGCTGGTAAGTTAAAATAAATCAAGGCATCTTTCTCAACTGACAGTGATGCCTGCAAAGCGACACCAGACTGTGACCGTCATGACAGTCACGTCAGCAACCGAACATAGAACTCACCTGCATGCACTCTCTTTAAGAAACCCAGATATAATGTTCACATCAATTTTCTTCACAATGGCATGCGTCTCCGCATTGTACCTAAAGGCTTTACGATAAGCGGTTACTCGAGTTCTTAGAGAGGATGCAAGATCTTTACAGTCGGTTGCAAGGTTCTGTGGAGGTAGGCTAGAGGCAGTTAAGATAAAGGAACGAAGTTGGCTCATAGCGGTTTTGAAGGAAGTCATAGTGGAGCAGTGACGGACCAGGGTAAGGGGATGTCGGTCAGAAGGATGATGTAAGAATAAGAGAAAGATGGAGCCAGAGAGATATGAAGGGAAGTGCCAAGTGCCTAAAGTGGTCAATTAAGAAAATATAATAATAAATCAAAAAGGAGAAAACAAAAGGGATCGGGGGTAATGGTACGAAAAGAAACGCCAAGTAGCAGTCAAGTAGTAAATGTAAAGTGGTAATAAGTGGCGAGACTGCAATCAGATGAGCACAATATAAAGAGAATAAAACAGAGTAGGGTTAGACCTGGAAAAAAGAACCGCAACAAAAGAAAATAATGAACGTGTCAGCAGAAAGCCTTCGTCAGTGAGACAATAAATAGGGAGACATTGAATCGTGGAGCATTGAATAGTAGGGCATTTAATAGTGAGAAATTGAATAGTGAGACATTAAATAATGTAGCAATGAAAAGAGGGCCATTGAATGGACATTGAATAGTGGGACCTTGAATAGTGGGGCATTAATAGTGGGGCCTTGAATATTGGGGAGTTTAATAGTGAGACATTAAATAGTGAGACATTAAATAGTGAGACATAAAATAGTTAGACATTCAATAGTGAGACATTAAATAGTGGAGCAATGAAAAGAGGGCCGTTGAATGGACATTGAATAGTGGGACCTTGAATAGTGGGGCATTAATAGTGGGGCATTGAATATTGGGGCGTTGAATAGTGAGACATTGAATAGTGAGAAAATGAATATTGAGACTTTGAAAAGTGGGACATCAAATAGTCTGACATTATAGGGGGCAAATGATTAGTAGGAAATTGAATTGTGGGACATTGAAATGTGGGACACTTAGTAGTGCAACATCGAAACGTGAGACATTAAAGAGTGGGACATTAAATAGCGGGTCATTGATTAGCGGGACATTAAAGAGTGAGAGATTGATTAGTGGGTTTTCGAATAGTGCAACGTGGAATAGTCGAATATGGAAGAGTGGGGCATTAAATAGTGGGTAGTTGAAAGGTTGGAAATGAAATAGTGAGACATTGAAATGTGCAGTGGTTCTCAACCTTCCAAATGCCACGATCCTTTAATACAATTACTCATATTGTGATGGCATCCTAACCACGAACATTTTTGTTGCTGTTGGCAACTTCGTCTCATTACATACTTTGTGGAGATCCCCGTCTCTTCATAGCGGCTTTTAACACGCCTATTCCTCACATAATCTTTGGTTACCCGATCTCCTCATATTGTTTTAGGCTTACACAATAGTCTTGCAATGTTACCAATAGCATATATCTGGATATCTGAAATGTAACAATTTATTCCGACAAAAAGACGCAATTGACATTATACAATTCATCACATCTTCAGCTTCTTCAACAGAGGCGATGATTTTTTAGCGAATTGAATTGATCTCTAGCTGGTTAACATTATCAAAGTTTGTCCATCTGTTTAAAAATGTATCAGGTCATATTTTTGTATTTGTTTAACAGTTCATCAATACATTTGTCCATCGGTTCATCGGTTCATCAACTTTTGAACAAATCGCCATCAATATGTCTAGGTAAATAAGCAATCATCTCTTACTAGAGAAATAAGCACCGGGGCAACACATGGTTGCGTTCTCTCCCCTGTCCTGTATACAATATATGCCAAATGTATTCAGAGCCCAAGCAACACCATTTCAATCATACGATTTGTTGATGTCTAGGTCTGGTACAGCTGGCCCTATCCATGATACGTTGTATAGGTCTCGTCCAACTGGCCCTTACAACAGTACTTTGTGTAGGCTTCGTACAGCGTGCCCAATCAACAGCGCTGTTGTTTTTGTTAAAGATTGTTAAAGATTTTAAAAATAATTTAGAGATTTTTGTTGTCAAGTTCAAGACAAGTTTACATTTAAAAAAAAAATAATAAGTTTATCTGTGCGCAAATTGTGTAGACTCTGCCAATATATTATTGCAAATATCAATATCAATATATAGATTTTTCTTTTCAAATAAGTTATCCAATTAATTATTTCCTATATATTTCAATATGTAGAATACGTCCGATTTTTTGAGGACATAAAATATCAAAACCCCCATCAGTCATATGTTTAAATATGTGATTGTAAGATTCAAAGACTGATTTTAAGACTTCAAAATAGCAGATAGAAAGAATGGCAAAAATCCCATAAGTATTATTCAGGCAACATCGGGTCATATTTTCTAGTACAAGACTTAGTAATATAGTATTTTAAAAAAAAAGTGATGAACAGAATATAACTAAATTGCCTGAACTCAACCTATCTAAAATCATGAGGTTTGTTAGTAAGACAAACAGAGAGAGAGAGAGAGAGAGAGAGAGAGAAAGAGAGAGAGAGAGAGAGAGGGGGATATACATAATAAAAGAGTTCGTGGGAAAGACGGTGAGACAGAGAGAAAAAGTAAGTGAGGTTGCGAGATGGAGAAAGAGGAGTTTGCGAGAGCTAAATACATTGCTGTTAATGTAGC